GACATATCCTTATAGCAATGTTTATTCTATCACATGTTATGACCAAGTTGATATGTTGGTGCAGTAAGTTTGTGATTTTTATAGTGAGGATGGATTAAGCGTAACCTTGAGTTATGGCTATGATTTTACCAACATAGAAGAGATGGAGAGGCATATATGTGTTCCCTAAAACGTTCATAAATCAGCATTGGCTTTGCAAGCTTTGCAAATTGTCCTCCATGATGCATGAGTCATTTACCCCATCACGGACAGTGAATGGGTGGCACCTATCTTTTTGGTGCCCAAAAAGATTGGAATTACATTGAGAGAAATACAAAATGATGCTTATAAGAATGCAAGGATTTACAAAGAAAAGACTAAGAGTCTCTATGACCGAATGATTACAAGAAAAGAGTTTAATGTTGGAGACAAAGTCCTTTTTTATCATTCATGTTTGAAACTTTTTCCTGGAAAATTACACTCTCGTTGGATTGGACCTTTTGTTGTTTCTAATATTTTTTTCTTATGGTGCATGATTAGTACTTAAAAGTGCATTTTTATCATATTTTTATATCATCATTTTGCACTTGAAGTATCAATAACTCCTTAACCAAAGCATGTTTTATAATAATATATCTAATAATATAAGATACCTTTAATTTGTAGTAAATGTTCATTTTAAATGCAGGCCTATCACATCAATGAAAGGATTGATTGATGACTTTAAGAACTTAAATTGCAAGGATAAAGAGATGACCAAACTTAGAAAAGAGATGTCGGTGCAATCCAAACCGGAACACTGTTCCGTAATTGGGTCATATCTGGAGCTATATATCTCAGATTTAGTTCCAATTTATATGGATGGAAAGGTAAGACATAGGCCTACAACTTTCATATGGATCCCAAGATCTAAAAAGACCATTTTCAAGTAAAATTATAGCAACAACAAAGAAGCCCGAATCTGTCTTCCAGCCCGAGCACTGTTCAGTATTTTGGCCATATCTAGAGTTCTAGAAGTCCAAATGAACTGAAGTTTTTACACAAGAAATCTGAGACAATTGCCTACAACTTTAATGTTGAAACTGGCTCCAATTTTGACGTTATAAATGACGTTTTGGGCAGACAATAGAAGATAAGGATTGTCACCAAGTCAAAAGTTGGCCACCCACTTATCAATTAGTCATCAAATCAATAGTTCCCAATTTTGGCCTATAAAAGGAGGCATTTGCCATGCATTTAAGCATCTTGGTTTCCAGATCAAGATCATGCTCTTCCTTTCTCTCTTTGTATTTTTTGTAATGTTTATGCTTTGCTTTCATTAATATTAAGTTTATGCCTTTCATTTCCTTTCCTTTACTTAGTTAACTTTTATGTTCTTATTTTGTTTATCTATTTTGCTTTCTTTCATTATGTCTAGCTAAGTTAATTATGTCAAGGTGAAAAGGTTACACTAATGGTGTAAGAATAAGTATAATGTAAACTTAATATGGACTTTAATGTTTGATACTAACATGTTTTATATTTGTTATCTTGTTCACTCTTTAATACTTTGCTTGTTAAATGACTAATCTTGATTTATGTTGTATAACACTTGGTACAACAAATGCTTGGCACTTTCATAGCCCATAATGTATGGTATAACCGACACCTGAGCTATGAAAGGAACTTGATTTGTTGTTAACATAAGTTATAATCATCAATTAATCCTTTCATTTATGTGATAGGCCTGTATTTAAAATGAATATTTACCATAAATTAAAGGTATCTTATATTATTAGATATATTATTATAAAACATGCTTTAGTTAAGGAGTTATTGATACTTCAAGTGCAAAATAATGATACAAAACCTTGATAAAAATGCATTTTTAAATACTAATCAAGCAGCCAAAGAGATGGGAAGGCTAGAAGAGGTGACAAAGGAAGGAGCTATAAGGGTGGTCATTGTGTGAGAAAAAGATTTCATTTTAAGAATGTACAGTTAGAGCTCTAATATTTAGAAAGAATAGCTCAACCCTTTAAAGTTAGGATTTTTTTGTATTTATAATCATCATACAAGGCCATGTAAATCTACAACGATATACAATATCATATTATTTGCCTATTTTATAGCCTAAATGTTAATTAAGAGATTTAGTCAATTGCTTAAATTATAGTTGTACAATCTATCAATATCTCTGTTAATATCTTGAATCCTGTCAGTCACATAAAAAGATTTTCTTTTTAACTCAAGCTTAATTTTAGTCTATTTATTTTCAATTATTTGTTTAATGAAAAATCCAAACTAATTTTTGTAAATCAAGTGTCAATTGATTATCGTGATTTTTTTTCAACATCAAGAACCTGATACTAAACTAATTTAATTAAATTATAAAGTTAATTTTCAATTAAGATAAATATAAAGGGATTAAATTAAAAAATAAAAAAAACTATGATTGTGAAAAGATAAAAAAAAAACAAAAAATGGAGAAATAGTAAACATCCAAGGCCAATTAGTTTATTTTTTATAAAAATTTAAAAATAGGTTTTGTATGATTACTCTATCAATATTTTAGAAGGAATTTATTTTACCTAAAAGTTCTCTTCTAATGAAATATTTTACGTAAAACATATTTTTTATATATTTGATAAATAAAAATAAATAAAAGGTGTGAAAGTCATGGATTGGTGACGATATTATAGATAGGTTGGAAGGGTGGAACCGATCATTGTTGTGCTAATCTTCTTTTAATAAAAAGAACACTGATGTGATTGTGGTGAAGGTGAATTGATTATTATTAGAATGGTGGGATGGTGGAATGATAGTGGTAAAAATAATAATAATGGGGTGTGGTGGCTTAGGTGATATTATAAATGGAAAACTATAATTAAATTATTTCTCATAAAATATTTTATAGATTTCATTATAAACTTAAAACTTGTCAACAAATAAAATAAAATCTTAAATTAAGATATTTTATATTAAACAGTTTTCTAATAAGATATTTTATACAAAATAAAAAGGCAAACATCTAGAGCGAATGCCTCTCATGCCAAACTTCGTAAATATGTTATTTATGTGGCCCCCGTGTATTATTTTACGTTGTTGAACGAACCTTCTGCTTCCGAGTGGTAGTTGTGCTTACGCGTTAACCATCCGATAGCGGTGGTTAGATAAGAAAATGTCAGTTATTTAAAGGGTTTTTTTGGAACGCAGTTGTTGTTTTTAAAATATTTTTTTATTTGAAATATATTAAAATAATATTTATTTATTTTAAAGTTATTTTAATATCAGTACATTAAAATAATTTAAAAAATTAAAATTAGAAAATCTTATTTTTTTCAAAAATAAAATAATAGTAGATAATAACAAACTTGAAGAAAACAAGTTCAGAAACAGAGCCTAGCGTACAAAACCACATCACACGCAGACAGACACGAACACACTTAAGAGATTAATGGAGGAGTTCAAGAACCAACTCTGTGTTGAAGAACCAGCTGTGTGTTTAGCCAAATCAAATAGAAGGCAAGATCAGTTCCACATGGAGGTGTTCCCCATGTAACGTGGAAAGCTAGAAGGGCAGCTTCCTTCTCTTTGTCTCAACATTCAACTTTCTGGATGTAAAAAGTGGTTCTTCCGAGCGACGCACAAAACATACAAATTCATTGCATCAAAAGGCAAATCCCAACAAGAGTGCTGACTTATATACGCGTACAAATTTGAAAATGACGTCCTTGTAGGCTCTGCACATTTCCAGCCAGCAACTTTCTTTGAATGAAGAATCCAACGAAACCATAATGTTCTTGATTTGCAGTTGAGCTTCCATTTGACAATAATGGCTGCTCCACCACTCCCCTTCTAGTCACAGTTCAACGAATTTAGTCAGGGGAACAAGCTTAGGCCATTTGAGGATCGATTCATCAGTAATCAAAGATACGTACGTCATCCAAAGGTGCATGTAATACAAACATTGAATTTTCCAAGTTCTTCGATTTCTTCTGCTTATCAATCTTGAAGACATTACAGAAGGTTATCTTAAAAAAATAAAAAAAAATTGTATCAATGGAGCTTATTAATTCATTAGGATCAGGGGGGATCGCTAGAGTAATGCATGATGCAAAACCGTAATCAAGAAAATCATTTTGATTAGAATGGATGTTAGGTAAGATTATTTTTTTATAGATTTCCTTTTCACACCTTGGAAAAAGACTGGTGGTTTCCAATAAAACAGTAAAGAATAATTAATTATTCACGAGATATATAGCTTGAGAAAGGCTTTGGATCTGCTACCTTTATTCATTTGGCAAGTTTGATATGGTTCACCAGCTAGGGGCACGATTCTCATCTTTACATAGTAATAAAGAAAATTTCTATATATTGATTTTAGGTTCAGTAATATATAAATATATATATATATATATATATGAAAAACCAATTTCAAGTTAAGAATATAACGTAGCTGAAGACGCATTTACCTCGTATTAAAAAAACACGGTAATATTTGAAAATGCACGTTGTTTCAACATATATTATTAAATATTTGTATTTCTTCTGCTAAGTCAATTGCGAGATCAACTCAACTGCCACAGTTTGCGTTGCATTTAGTTTCTAGATAGAAACTTTATCATAAATTAAGAAAAAGAGTGTTAGATGACTTCTGTTTTTCTTTGTTAGGTGTTAATGGCTTCCTTAACTAATACAAAAATAATCAGGTTTCTTCTTCCCATTATACGAGCTTCAAACCACCGCCTCCCACCCGCCACCATTGCCATCATGCATCGCGGAGCAGCGACTTATCAATTATTGTAATAATTTTGCCAAAACTAACGGTCTTCACCATTGACATTTGATAGTCCAATGAAATTATAGAAATTGACACCTCTAGAAGACCACCTGAATTTTCTTGTAAGAATATTTACTCGTAACAATAGGACCCTCAAAAAACAAGTACTACAGTAATCCGAGTAGCATGTTTCACATTGAGGTTCCTATGTTCATACTTGTCGGCAGCGCCAGCTCTTAGAAGAAATTTAGAACGTCTGTCAACGCGTCGCAGTTGGATGTTTCCATATTCATTCTATAAATATGCCGATGGCAAACTCTTCGTTCATCTCCACACAACTACTTCAAATTAGTTGAATACCAGAAAAGAAAAAACTTCGAACTGCAAATAAGTTTGATCTAAGACATGGGAAAGCTAGCAATCCAACTCCTCTTTTTGATCACTTTCTTCCTCGTTCTTGTTTCGCGTATCCTCCCGGCAACATCTCAAGAAGTTGGTGAGGCTGCAGTTCTCATGGCATCACTAGTTATAGGGCAACATGGCCTTGATTATTAAGCTTTTTTGTTCAACTTCTCCATAAACTATCATGTTCTTTCTTAGCTATAAACTACAAATTTTAAATTAGTACCATTAGTAAGTGCTTTGTTTTCTTGTTTTTAATTATTGATTTTTGAAGTTCAAAGAATTCTAGACAGTATTCAATTTCTTGAACAAGAAACAGATCAAGATTCGTAACTTTTTTTGAAATTATTTGGTGAAGCATGCAATTCTTTACTTGTATTAAACTACGTACCAAACATGCGAATAATTTATACTTACAAGTTGGTAAATTGTTTGTTTTTTCCTTTTGTTGTGGCGCAGAGGACGAGGCAGACTTTAATTATGATCCAAATGGGGAGAAGGGACCTGCTAACTGGGGAAGGATTCACCCTGAGTGGGGTGCTTGTAGCAATGGATCTATGCAGTCTCCTATCGATCTGTTGAGCGAAAGAGTCGATGTGGTGTCTCATTTGGGGAGACTCAGTAGAAGTTACAAGCCTGCTAATGCCACTCTTAGGAATCGGGGCCATGATATGATGGTAAGGAAGGAAGGATATTCGAACCTGTAATATATTAGGAAATATACTAGGTAGAACTACAACGCAAGCTATAATTAATACGATGGATCATATCAGTATTGATTCCAGTTCCTTTGGTTAAAATAAATACCAAAGGCATTAGAAAGATTTTCCAGAAATGATCATCGTCTCATCTCTCCAGCCTTGTAAGTTGCAGCTATCTTATTAGTTGCAATGTTGTATTTACAAACCATGTCATAAATTGCCCTATTGGCGAGATGTTTTTACCTACCTGTAAGCAACGAGGTAGCGTTGAAATCAACAAAACTATATATAGTTTCATCTTTCTCTGTTTAATTCTAATATTATTATTGTTTGTGGATGCAGCTGAAATGGGAAGGTGCTGCAGGAAGCATTGAAATAAATGGAACTGAATATCTACTCAAACAGTGCCACTGGCATTCACCTTCAGAACATACAATCAATGGCAAGAGGTATTTAATTCTCTAATTTCCCAATTTATCTCCCTCTCTCTATGTATAAGCAGGCAACAGCAGTATAGCACTAACTCAAAATGTTTCACCTGTAACTCTATACAGGCTTGCTTTAGAGGTGCACATGGTTCACGAGAGCCTTGATGGAAAGGTTGCTGTTGTTGGGATTATGTACATGATAGGAAGGCCAGACTCTTTCCTGTCATCTGTAAGCATCATATATATATACACACACACACACACACACCAGCCTCTGTGTAATTATCTCTCTTTAATTCTCTCTAATCATGTTTTTCATTAATTAGTTGACAAAACAATTACAATTGGTTGCTGGCACGTATGAACGAGATACAGTGGCGGGAGTAGTTGATCCAAGGAACATCAAGATAGGCAGCAGAAAGTATTACAGATACATGGGCTCCCTTACAATTCCACCTTGCACTGAAAATGTTCTGTGGACCATTGTTAGAAAGGTTTAGATCTTACCTAATCAAAAACATTGATAAACTTTAAATTATTTTCATGATGTAACTGTATTTTGTTCTAAATATTACAAAATACCCTGTTAGGTGAGGACTGCCACAAGAGAACAAGTTAGAATGCTTCGTGTAGCTGTTCATGATGTGAGTTCCCATCCTAACCTTGAATATTTCCCATATATAAAACAGGAATGAATTTATATGGGAAATTAGAATTCTTTGAATATTAATTATTTCAATTAGATTCTCTTTACTTCCAATCTTGCTTGTTCATTATTGGTATTTGACCTATTATGTATGCTGATATCATTTGATGAACATTTTGCAGGAATCAGACACCAATGCAAGACAAATACAACCAATAAATAGTAGAACGGTGAAACTTTTTAGACCAGAAGACAAGGATGACTAAACAAATTACTTCAAGCTTCATTTTTCCTGGCATTAGTGATTACAGCTATATATATATAGAAATAAAGGAGAGTTTGGATGGATCACCAACAGAGTTATTTGCAGTAGATTACCTGATTTTAGTTGTAGCTCTAGGTTATTTTTCATTTTAATTTCTTCGTTCATTTATTGCCTACTATTATATGTTTATACATGAATATACTCTATCTTCATGAATTTCAATATTGTTGATCTTTCTTTTTATCGTTTATGATGTGATGCTCATCTTCTACAAATATGGGAAGACATGGAATCCTTTACCGCTAGCTTCTTGGAGCCAACCATGCTAATGGTTGATCTTTGAGAGCATTGTGAACTCTCTTGTTCCTTTCTGCGGCTAGAAATAAAACTCCTTTTCCGCTTAAATTGCTTTGCATGACCAAATTCAACCATATCCTCAACAAGCCTATTAATAATATTGCTAATCAGCAAAATCTCTCACCATAATATCTTTTACAGGCATGTATGTAATCAAAGAAATGATGATCCCTGCTCTCACTTTCAACTTTGCTAATTCACATGAAGGAGCCATTGCCCTAGCCATTCTCACCTGCTTCTCTTTAGTTGTAGCTAACAAGGCCACAGAGCCATATCTAGGGATTCAAGAAGAACCTAAAGTATCTTAAACCAGTCCCCACTCTGTTACGTTTTTCCCTCACAGAATCCCACAAACTTCGACAAGTGAAGTCACCATGGGATGCCTTTGTCTAAATATCACTGTCTTCAATGACTACAGAAGGAAAGATAATCCCACTGCCATGTATTGGTTTGCCTTTTAACTCTTAAGAGATGGTCAAAGTTTAACATCTATCACCTGGAAAATTTTTAGACTTATGATCCCAAGTTCTCATTATTCAAGAATGGTCAATGTTTCTCCCCGTAAATGGGAAAATATGAAAAAAAACGAAAGATGACGAAGAATCCAAATGTTCCATAACATATACAAACTGATTTTGAGCCTACGAGGGAGAATTCTAGCAACAAAATTCATCAATCATGGACTAATTCCTACTACTAAAAAGATATACTATATCATCGTACCATTCTGACAAGAATTTTCAAGATATCATCCATAGATGGCCTATGTAAAGGGTCTTCTTCAACACATGCCTTTGCCAAAACAGTTAAACATAAGGCCTCGGCAAGAGGATAATCCTCCTTCAGACATGGATCCATGAAACTCCTCAATCCATCGAAACAGCCACCTTCAGTAGTTTTCCCGGCCAAGAAAGCAATGCATTCTTTGAATGATTTTCCATCAACATCATCTTTTCCTGAGATGAGCTCAAGTAGAACAACTCCAAACGCAAAAATATCTACTTTCTCAGAAACCGAGCCATCGACAACGTATTCCGGCGCAACACATCCTTTGACACTCTCTATGTTTTCATTTCCTCTGGAAGATCCAACAGCAGGGTTGGTTCTGATATTTGTAAGCTTTGCCCTCCAATCTGTTGTTACAAAAATATTTCTACTGTTGACACTCAAGTGAGCATAAGTTGGAAAAATGCAATAATGTAGATAGTGAAGAGCTGTAGCAATGTCAAAAGCTATCTGAGTTCGTTTATCCCATCGAAGAGGATTCGATGAATTAGATAGCAAGTCCCTCAAGCAGCCATTGCTAGGTAGCTCGAACACGAGGTAGGACCAAGAATAGTCACTCTCCCCATAACAAACACCAAGCAAATTCAGAATATTTATGTGGTTGATTTTCGAATGTATATCGATAACTTGGCGAGTCTGTTCAAATCTCATCAGCTTGATCATCATTTCCGCATTATCCATATTCAACCCCTTGTAGGCTTGATCCCCAATCTTCCTTTCTTCAGTGAAATCATCTGTCGCTCTCTTGAGGTCCTCAATGCTATAATTCCTCAAGGAATACTTAATGCCAGCAAGAACATCAGGAGATAAACAAGAAGTTGCTGAGCTTCGACCTGTTAATTGTCCTGATCTAGGAGAACTTGGTGTTGGGCATGAAAGTGGAGAGCTTCTAGTATTGAAGGACTGTAACTTCACATCCTTAAATTTGCGCGAGGCCTTCACAAGCAACCCACATACAATCAATGCAGCTAGTACCAGAATAAAGCCAACAACTGATCCTGCAATGTACATATTCCTCAACTTTGTGTTGCTGGTTTTCTGAACTAAAATTGTGGGAAGAAAACCAGGACTTGGAGGTGGAGAGCGTGGGATACTGAAATTAATGACAGGTTCTCTTTTCAAGGGAATTAAGACAGTTGTGTTTGGATATATAGTAGGCCAAGGTTGAAAATTATTAGCGACCCATAAATCTACCGGAGAGATGCTAAATTTTTCACTTAGTATGCTTGGTGCATCGCCTTCTACCAAAGGGTAGGTCACAAGGTACTTGACTCCACTGCTGTCACTAAAATTATCCGGACATGCACATTTCAAGGGCACATGAAGTTTAGTACCAACCTCAACATTATTTCCTTCAGATGTGTTTTCCTCGAAGAGGGTGCCTGGTTTTGCTAAACCTTCGAAAATTCTGCAAGCAATATCCGAGAGATCAATTGTACTGTTTTCTGGAACTGTGTAGTTGAAAGTTGCCTGGAAGAACTGGCCAAGGCAAGAACATTTGATCGGAACAAGAACTTCTCGACCTGGTTCGAGAACTTTCAGCTGAGATTTAAGATTGTTCAAGTGAAGTAGCTCAGCAGGATCTAGCTGAAACAATTGAGAGACATCTGAGATGGTCTTGAAATAGTGGCTGGCTCTGTAGACTAAAAATGTATGGCATGGATGCTGGTAGGAATGATTGCAAGTGTATCTTGAACCTGGATAGCTTGTATTTTCTGAACAATCCGACGGGTCATAGTATTGTTGAGCATTGATTGGATTGAAGAACAGGAAGATCAGAAACCAAATGAAGACCATGGTTTCCGCAGCAAACCGGATATGATACATTTTGCTGATAACCTACCAATTTCAAGTCTCATCAACTACTTTTCAAAATTGTCAAAACAGTTTCACAGGATACACCACAAGAATGTTCCTGTGGGAAATGGAAAATTCAAACTGTCTTCGCTTGATACAATCAAGTTGATTTCTTGGGAAGAATTTATGACATATTCGAGCTTGCTGTGACCAAGATTTCCAATCATAGCATATGGGGTAGGCAAGTGATTGCTAGAATAATCATCTTATTTTATTAAACTAAAGTACTGTTTCCCAATCAATATACTAATACATGCTTCGAAGAGACACGACTCTTTAAAGAACTATTACAACTTCAGAAGCCGGCCAGCCACTATTTTATTTTACAGGGCAGGAAAGAATAAATCATGACATATTGTTACTTTGATTCGTTGCCCGTGATTCCATCTCTTCTGCTTGTAGTTTTCTCACCAAAAGAACCCTCTCCAAACCACATGGCAAATGGAAATTGAACGCCATGGTAAGCTTTTTTGGATACAATGTCAAGTTCTGTTGATTTGGGTTAAGGATGATATTCATCCTTGCTAACAATTAACAAAAACTCCAAGGAGATGCGGAAGAAATCATATAGCAAACACTATGGACACATGTTGATTTCACTATTCATCGCTACTGTACAATTACTATTGTGCCCTCAAAAAAATAAGAAGGCAATGGGTAAGGGTATTTCGGTCTTTTAGGTTACCCATCAGGGACTCTACACGGCTATTTTATTACGCTTTGGACCCCTTTTTTAAGCTATTAGATGAGGGTATTTTAGATTTTTTAATGTTCAAAATATTTAACTTTAAAATTAAAAAAAATAAGACATGGGTTCAAAACCTTAAACTTAATGGAGATGGCCAGTCCAACCGGGACATTCATGAAGCAGCAACCATGTTAATTATCTTATGCTAGAAACCCTTAAGATGAACTGTATGGTCAAACCACCAACCATCTGACTTGTGATTGCCTTTTATGGTTTAACCAAAAACAAGAAAATCAAAGCATAGGAAAAGGTGAGATAAATTGACTCATGAGTCAAAAAGTAAACTTAAAAGGCTTAGTAGCCTATTACACCATGTTGGGCTATGGCCTACTTCATACCAAATAAACAAAGGAATATTATACAATATTGTGTGGGGGAATTATTATTTCTCCACACTAAAATTATTATCGATAATAGTAATTCATAGCACCTTTTTTTTTCCCAACTTTAACCTCTCTTTTTTTTCAAAATCACTTTCCTTTTTTTTCAACTTTCAATTTTTTTTTTTCATTTTTTTTCTAAAATTATTTTTGTTAATTTTACTTTTTAAATATTAAACTAATTAAAAAACTTTCTTTTTAATTTTTTTAAATATTGTGAATTTCTGCAGTATTTTCTCACATAGTTTTTTATTTTATTTTTTTATTTTACAAAATTGTATATGTTGATTTTTTAATATTTTATTTTTGTAATTTTTTTCTTTCAAACATGGTTGATTACTACAATGTTTCTCCGCATGATTTTTTTATGATTTTTCTGAAATTATCTTTTTTATTTTATTTTTTAATATTAAATTGGTTAAAAATTACAGTTACAGTTTGTAACGAAAGCATTGTGACTTTACTCGCAAGTTATTGTGGATTGTTATAGTGTTTTTTTCCACATGGTTTTTTCTATTTTGTTATGTTTTTTTCTAAAATTGTCTTTGTTAATTTTATTTTTTAAATATTAAGTCAGTTAAAAATTACAATAATAAGTAAATATAAGTTTTTCCTCACAAAACACTATGGATTGATACAGTTTTTCCTTTGTAATTTTTTTACAGTTTCTTGTGTTTTCATTTTTTGTAATTTTTTTTTCAGAATTATCTTTGTTGATTTTATTTTTTAAAAAATATTAAGTTGGTTATAATTTAAATTTTTAATAAAGCTTAATCATGTAGGAAAAGTACTGTAGTTTTCCTTACAAAATATTGTGGATTGTTATAGTGTCTTTCCACATGGTTTTTTTCTTATAATTTTTTTAAAATTATCTTTATCAATTTTATTTTTTTAATATTGAACTGTTTAAGAATTACAAATATAAGTTATTACAAATAAGGCTAAATCATTTGGGGAAGTATTGTAACTTTCATTACAAAACACTGTGAATTGCTATAGTGTTTCCAACATGATTTTTTTTTGTGTTTTTTTATTTTTTTCTAAAATTATCTTGGTCAATTTTTTAAAAAATTGAGCTAATTAAGAAT